GCGGCAAATGTTGGATGGCAAATTTTTGTAAATTTATACAAAATTTTCAAGTATGTTATTTTTTTTAAATATTTTTTTAATTTTTATTATATGACATGACTTGAATATTGATTGACAGAGCAAAAGGTATGGAACTTCTAATTGATATGGCATTTCAAAACAAAATTTTTAAATTTTATAAAGGGAGATAAGGGCTTGCCTTGAGAGAGAGAATAAGGAGAGAGAATAAATGCATGTCTTGTCTCAGGCAGCAAAAACTCTATAGTCTATTTATCGTAACTTGGCACCTACTGTAAACAAAAATTTTGTTGTATTAATCCACGGGAGATTTTCATTGGTCAAATCACAATCGAAAGTGGCTAGACACGTGTTGACCAGTTAAGCCCTTTTTCTCTGCACATGTTACTAGGCTAGAGTGGTCACAACAATTTAAAAATTACCGAGATAATACTTAGAAAAGTTATTAAAGCCTACTTTAACATTTTTACATAGCTGTTTAAATTATTTCCATCATTTAAATATAGTTAATAATGTATATTTAATAATAAATTTTTGATATTTAATTTGACTTAAGCATATTTAAATACAAATTCTTGAATGCCATTTATATTATATGAATGCCAATTAATGCAGTTTTTATTAATTAATTTGATTTAGATTAAACTGCGGTGCATACAAAAAAAAAAAGGAAGATAGTATCTTTTCCTCATGTGCATTGAAATCTAATTTAAATAGCAATATTGTTGATGATTCATGTCTTGATGTATAATGACGTGGACAATCTCAGCATCACTAACTTCCAAATCAATAGTTCTGTCGTTGATTGGTCAGGCTGTTAACTTTCTTTAACATAGGAAGTATAGGTAGCTGACCATCTGTGGACGGCTCTTGCCAAGTAGCTTGTTCTGCAACTGAATTATCATATGGTAACCGGCACAAAAATAAGTTTAAAACTTTGTTTGTAAACCGAATTGTTCGAAACCTGAGGTTTAACTGTATTTGTTGTGGATGACAATTGATATTAACAATGTATTAATCATAATTTTTTAATGCATGTCTGGAATTTGAACTACAAAATTATATTGAACTCTCAGCTGAAGAAAAAAGATTGCTTGTTATGATTGTTGGGTTAAAAGTTAAATAATACCCATGATTACAATTTATGCAATTTACAATGGGTAAAATTCATATAAATTGTATATAATTATCAGTGCAAAGTCACACTTCCAATGCAAAAACTACATAAAATTAAACCAAATATTAAGAAAAATTCCATAGTTTTGATAACTAACAAAATTTCTGCAAACCTTCTACAAAAATATTACTGCAATAGGTTATATACACACTAGTACACCCAAAAAATCAGATTAGAAAGTATTAAAAGAATATAGGTTTATCTATATATTACATTTGAATCACAATTACTAGAGGTAGAGAGAGAAAAAAGTCCTCTTATTACCACTTTACCAATGGGAAAACTTGTTAGAATTTCATGTATGGTTGGAAGTTTTCCTTGTAAATGTAAATGTTATTTTTATAAATATGTAAATGCTAATAGAATAATTTTGTCCACTAACTGCACAAAGAAGAAAAAATTCTTAAAAAATGAAGATATATAAATAATTACATAATAAAAAATTCATTATCTTTAAAGATGCAGAGATGATTCTTAATGTTCTGTAGCAGATGCTTAAATTTAGAATCTCATGTTCCTTTGAATTCATCAGCACTTGAATATTTTACATACACCCATTTTGTTGAACAAAATATATAAATGAAAATTAATATAATAGTCTTTATTGGAATAGACTAAAAGATTTGTATAAAAAACATTGACAACTAATTAATTAATTTACTTAATCTCTTAAAGATCTCTTATTTCAGATAAAATGATCAACTAATATGAAGAATTGGTTATTCCCTCAAACACCTTCAGTTAACCTTGATTTTGTAGGAAGTTGCTTTTCTTTATCTGTTAATATTTGTGTTTAAAAAACAAATAATACAATACTTTTCTGCGTACAGTAGAGCATCAATTATCCAAATGTTGATCAACTGAAATGTCAATTAACCAAAAGCTTTCCAGTCAGCAAATTTAAATTTCCACTAGTACTGTGGCGCTGCAACCTTTGGCTATGTCTTGGGCTACTCCAATATTATTTTTGTTGGTGTGTGTATGTGTTTTAGCTGGCAGCACTGGCACGACAATGAGAGGGTACTTATGGATGTGCCAGGTTTTGAACGAATTTCAACATGGGATAGGTTAATATAATTTTTCATACATAATTGGTTATCTGAAAAATCGATTTTCTGAACAACCCCAGTCCCCAATTGATTCAGATAATCGATGCTCTACGATATTTGTTTCTGTTTGGGCTACTTAACATGACTTTTGCCACAAGTTTTTAATAAATGCTGTTATAACAATTTTATGACAATTTTCCAGGCATGCACAGAAACAATTAACAATATTAAACATAATGGATGTGTGTAAAAATTCAACTATAAGGTTTTAAATTTTATTTTACTATTTCTGCCCAACGGACAATAAGAGGGCTTTTTTCAAACCCACTTTGTTCAATTAGACACACAATAGGGCTGGGTGATGAGGGATGGGGCCTGACATATAATATCAGACCATCTCCAAAAATTCCTAAGATTTTTCAATCTTCTTGGATTTGAGTCTGGTTTCTAGAGGTAGGCTGATGCTTTAACAGGCATCTGATCCAATTCTAAATTTAAGTACAGTACCTTCTGTTATGTAATGACCAAGGCTGATGCCACTGTATGGGTAAAGTAGGCATTTGCCTAGGGCGGCAAATGTTGGATGGCAAATTTTTGTAAATTTATACAAAATTTTCAAGTATGTTATTTTTTTTAAATATTTTTTTAATTTTTATTATATGACATGACTTGAATATTGATTGACAGAGCAAAAGGTATGGAACTTCTAATTGATATGGCATTTCAAAACAAAATTTTTAAATTTTATAAAGGGAGATAAGGGCTTGCCTTGAGAGAGAGAATAAGGAGAGAGAATAAATGCATGTCTTGTCTCAGGCAGCAAAAACTCTATAGTCTATTTATCGTAACTTGGCACCTACTGTAAACAAAAATTTTGTTGTATTAATCCACGGGAGATTTTCATTGGTCAAATCACAATCGAAAGTGGCTAGACACGTGTTGACCAGTTAAGCCCTTTTTCTCTGCACATGTTACTAGGCTAGAGTGGTCACAACAATTTAAAAATTACCGAGATAATACTTAGAAAAGTTATTAAAGCCTACTTTAACATTTTTACATAGCTGTTTAAATTATTTCCATCATTTAAATATAGTTAATAATGTATATTTAATAATAATTTTTGACAAAGATTTACACAAAACATATTTATAATTGTGTAGTTCAAAATACTTCAGAATTTTTATCTACACAACTAATTTATTAAATAGATATAAAACAGAACAAAAAAATTACCCAGCAATCCTTAAATATCATACGCAAACCTCTAAAGGAAAACGTTACTGTAATGCATGAGTTATTCTTTTTGATATATAATTTAAAATTTTTAAAAATAATTAACAAGGTAAGTTTACACATTAATCATCTGTATCAGAAGATATAATTTATATTGCTTTCGTCACTACTTGCGTTCAACTGAATAATCAGTTTTTCTACAACAGTTTTCAAAATCTCATCAAGTTCCCACATTCACTGTTAGTTTTCTATATGTTCAATACATTTTGAAATAATGATAGTTATTGTAATGAATGGAAAACGAAATCAAGACATTATAGTGTGCATGACTGGAAAAAGTTTATTTTCAGTGATTCAGAGTGTGCAAATATTCATTAAAATAACAATTTAACAAATATGAAATAATTACATTTATTATCATTGCTAAGTGACTAGTATTTCATTAATGATTTTATAAATAACAAAGAACTGCAGACGAATGAGACACAATGCGGTTTCTAATTGATGGACGTGGGTTTAAACCAATAAACAAAGGGAGGTGTCTTAGTTTGTTTACAGTAGGTGCCAAGTTATGATAAATAGACTATAGTGCCAGCTCTGGTAATGACATACTCCACAAAGACAGCCAGATTTAAAGCATAAAATATTTGAAATTATTGCTGCTATTTTTCTTAAAGTATCATTGATTAATAGTGTACTATCAGCTGTAATTGTTCTTTATAATTAGTAATATTTTACCCTTTAGTGATAAGCATAAATTTTGCTGAAGAAAACAAGTCATACAAGGAACACACCAGTAATTAACTATTCCAACTTTATTGGACAAGGAAATGCATTTCAGGTTTTCCGCCCCTGTTCAGTCCTTTCTTACAGTTCTTTGACTTTATTAAAACTATGTTGGTGACCACTGATGAATTTTTATGCAGCAGATTTGTCTACATAAGCTGCTGTGTAAAAATAAATGTAAATGTTTTAAAATGTTGATTAAAAAAAGGAAAACCTTTCAAATAAAATTAAAATTAAACTTCTTAATAACTTTAAAAAACTCTGCTGCAAGAAGTGAAGTTGTTTAATTTTATTATAAAAGGCTTTCCTTTTTTAAATCAACATTTCAAGGCATTTACATTTATTTTTTACACAGTATCTTACATACACGAAGTTGATTCATCCAGTAGCCACTAACAAATTTTCATAGTCAAACATCTGTAATAAAGGACTGAAGAGGGCCAGGAGACCTGAAATGCAATTTCCTTGTACAATAAAGTTGGAATAGTCAATTACTGGTGTGTTTCTTGTATGATTTGTTCTCTTCAGCAAAATTTATGTTATCACTAAAGGATCTATCAAGAAAATGAGTAACAATTCAACAACAAAAGAACATCAAAGTAATATTTTAATTATAAAAACTTTGAATTGAAATAAAAGATGCATATTATTAGAGTTGAAATAAATCAATGATTGAGATAAATACAAAAATTAACATAATATAATATATATAAGTTCAAAATCAATAATTTACATACTTTGTAATTTTAAAGTCACGTAACTTCCTTGTAAAGTCTTCAACTTGAGTCCATCTTGAAATCCTGGACTATACCATACTTGGGGAATTATATGATATAATATAACTTCTATGGATAATAAAAATATTTTTATTAAAAAGTGATAGAAATTGTGCACAAAATTAAATATTTTGAGATAATTAATAATGAAAGAAATTATGTTATTTATATACAACATAAATAAATTATTAACTTAATTTTAAAAAAAATCATATAATCTTGAAATATATACAGATCAATAAAGTTAATAATGTGAGATCTAGGACCTGACTTTTAAGTCGGGGAAATTTTAACCACTTTTTCCATCGCAATCATTAAGAAAACATCACACAGAAAAAGAACTGAATGTCACCCTTCTCATCAACAAACGCTAATAAAGTATAACAATCTATTGTTAAAAGATGAGAATGTCAACATTCGAACAAATAAACAGGATGAATCTAACATTTCACAAACCAAATATTACACTATCTGTCCTGTTTAGACATCTTATTGTCTTCCCAGTCCATCAATGACCCAACACCTGCAACTTTGTCTCAAAAAACACTCGATCACTTGATCATTTTCCCAGGCCTAAAGAGAATATAATGACAACGCACACCAACTTCGTGGTGATTGTCCATTGGAAACAACCTGTCCCTGATCAGACTGTCCAGAAAAGATCACCAGTGACTGATCCTTGATCACGAAAAAGGGAAAGAGGTAGGATGCTTCACCCACTTTTGTAAACTCTCTCTTGACCCCATAATATGTTATCGGTGAATTTTGGTAGATAGAATAAGCTTATTATCCTTTATATGCAGCTCATTACTCACTATTATACCTGCATTCCTGTAACCTTTGTTTAGATTTTAATTATTCATAAAAATTTTATCCTTATTAAGTTTGTTAATGGTGACTGTTACTCGGGTATTGCCAACATTTTATCGATGACCTCGCTCACCCTCCCACTTGACCTGACCAGCTAATCCTGAAACTCTGTGTGAATGTGCACTGAAAAAAATGCCATCTACTGACAATGTGAGCGGTTTTCGCCAGACCATCACCGATAAACAGGTTAAGGCACATGTAATAACCCTGGCTCTTCACAATAACTTTGGACAACAATAATTTTTGTTAAAGCAGATTACAATAATAAATGAGTACAATGTACCCCAACCACTTTTAACCAATATGGTTACACTTACAGAACTGGTTTGTTTTTGCAAGGGCACTGGCACAGACAGACACCATCAAGCAATCGTGGGCTCGAAAGGCATTCCACGGCAGGCATCCTTATGACCTGACCCAGGATTTTGTTGATAAAACTGCATCAAACAGCTGGTTAGGTCAGGGATGCCTCTTTGGGGAGACAGAAGGATTCATGATTGCCATACAGGATCAGGTCATAAATACTAAAAACTACAGAAAAACATACTCAAAGATACAACACTCACAAATGACACATGCAGAAAATGTCACATCATGCCAGAAACTATACAACACATCACTTCTGGGTGCAAGCTCTTGGCACAGACAGATTATTTACACAGACATAATCAAGTAGCGAATATAATACACCAAGAGCTTGCAAAGAAACACAAATTATTAGACATCCACGAACCATACTACAAGTATACACTACAAACAGTATTGGAAAACAACATGCACAAAATGTACTACGACAGAACCATAATCACATATAAAACAATTTACCACAACAGACCAGATATCACACTCATTGACAAACACAATAAAATCACATACATTATAGACATAGCCATTCCAAACACTCACAATGTACAAAACACATACACTGAAAAAATTAGCAAGTACACAGAACTCGCCCAGAAAATATGGCATCTGTGGAGGATGGATAGGGTGCTTATTGTACCTGTCGTTCTCTCCTGTACAGGTGTGATACCATACACACTATACAAAAGCCTGGGAACATTACAATTGAATAGAAATACATACATCACACTACAGAAGGCCACTATATTGAATACATGCCACATTGTTAGGAAATTGCTGAATTCACACACACTGACACACTTATTTAATTTTAGTTTTGTTTTGGTTGCTATGCCTTGACTCTGGTCCGGCATAGTACACAGCCACCGGTGTTAACCGAGTAAAACTCACTAAACTCAACATAATAATAATACAGTGGTGCCTCGTATAACATACGCCTCGAATAACGAACGCTGTGAACAACGGACTTTCTGTTTGGCGTTACGTGACTCGAGCAACGGACTGGCTTCATACAATGGACTTTCCGTTCGGCAGTTACGTGAGGCGAACAATGGTCTTTCTGCGAACAAGTGCGAATGATGTTTCCACTCTTTTGCCGTTGCCAATGACAATCTGCTATTTTTATAATATATTAGTATTATTAAAATATGTTATTAGTATATCTGAAGTACAGAGTTCCCGTTGAGATTCGGCTCGCTCCCTTGTTTATTACGTACATCACCTCAGTGCAGGGTATTTACATTTATTCAAGTGTTGTGAAAATCATGGCTTCTAAATAAACAGAAATATGATTTCAATTGAAACAAAGCAAGACATCATCAGAAGGAGTGAAAGTTGACAAAAAGTTCCTTGTGAAAGGGGGAGAAGTTCAGGAGTTTACCAACACTCATTATCCAAACAGAGCTGAGGCCAACAGGATCAATGATCTCTACAATGACACCCTTGCCCGTCATTTCTGACAGGTGTTGAAGAAGAGAGAGAAACAGACCACCTTGGACATATTTTTCAAGAAGCCAGTTTTCAAAAAACAAAGGATGGAACACGAGGAGATGACCTTGCAAGCTCCGGCAGCCTCTCCTGAATCTGACTCCGATTTAAAATAATAAAAAGAGACCTTCTGCAATGTGTAAAATGTCTGTATCTGTATGAATGTGTAAAGAAAGTGTTCCTCCACCTCCTCCTCACAACATCTGACTACCCGGCATAATTGGTGACTGCTCCATTTTCATTTTTTTTATAGTACAATACGGTTATTTTATGCCGCGGAACGAATTATATGTTTTAACATGTATTTCTATGGGAAAATGCGTTTCGTATAACGGACTTTTCACTTAACGGATGTGCACTTGGAACGGATTAAGTATGTTATACGAGGCACCACTGTAATTAAAAGAATTTATAAAATAACGAGCAATTATTTATTGTGACATTGTCAGGCTACAATTTTAATCACATTTCTCTCCACCTGAAATTAGTGTCTTGCCCCTGTACATCATATTTTTCCTGTTAGCAAAAGAGTCATGCAGGTCATCTGTTTAACTCCTTTTGGGATAATTTTGAATTGAAACAACATGACTTCTGGTACAAAATGGTAGTTTGTATGTAGTTAATTGGGCCCTCCATATCTGGTTGCAACTTTTATCTATCTAATTCTGTTCTTGAGATTAAAGATAGACAGACAACAGTGAGTATTTATAGGTCTACAATTTTTTCAAATTGTAGCCAAATTATGTCTATGCATGACATTTATCAAATGAACTGTCTCGTGATAATTCTCCCACTCTTTGCACCCCTTCCCATGTTTGCCTCTTAACAAAATGTGGAAGTAGACTTCGACAATGCATGTATTATCAAACAATGCCACAACATAGGGCATATCCAAACTCTAGAGGCACTAAAAATTCATAAATTAGTAATAATGATGTAATTTTTTCCTATTAACTTTAGTTAATATAATTTAACTTAAATAATTTCAATAATATGAAAATTTTCCTTTTTAGAATATTTTTTGGAGTTCATTATTTCAAGTTCATCCTTAACTGAATTTTTTGAAACTTATACAAATTCATTCGAGGTCATTGTCATAAATAAATTTTGTATTTTTGGACATTGAAAAGTCCATTAATTACTGTCTGTGCAAAAAGTAAAAATAATCATTTATGACACTGAATTCAATTTTATTTCTATTAGTCAACATATTGCATCAAGTTTATAATAGTATATACTATCCTATGATGATGAAAACATGTGCTTAAATTAAAGCATTCTTTTAATCTAAAATATTTATGTTAACTATCCATGGCAAATTGTATGGTAGGCCTACTTACTTATATATATGATTTGATTTGAATTTTCCAAACTATGTAATAATAATTATTAATTGGTTCATAAATTATGGTTTTATTTTGGGTCCTGAAAATATTCTGCATTCCTTTTCGTAAGTTGCATTGTATCACATTACTTATTGCTTCCTGCAGACAGCTACACTTTATCTATCTTATTGTGAGCAAAAAAAATCAGCAAGGCAGCCAAGGAGGCAAATTTCCTGACTTTCAAAGTGTGTAAGAACCCTGTGTATATATATATATACAGGGTACCTACAACACACCTATATATATATATTGCTAGTTTTTTAGAACATTTCTATCTCAAGAACAATTTATCAATTTATTTTTTGAGCTACATGTTAATTTATTATTATAAATTAGTTGGCAAAATTTCAAAGTGAGATCTGTTCAAATTTAAATTTATTCCATTTGTCTAAAAAAAATCAAGTGAACTAAAGTTTTTAGAACTCTTGGAACTTTTTGTTTAATCTTTTATATTTAATGTTAATTTTTTTGTTTTTGTTATTATAAGATATATTTGATTTGAATTTAAAAATTTTTGTTCTAAAATGACTTTATTGGAAGAAATAAAGCAAAAGAGTTTCTACAGGACTCACCATAAGAAAGATAGCACAGGAAGTCAAAAAGCAGCTGTATACTTTTTCAAAAGTTGGAAAGAAAGACAAGCATACTGGGTGCCCAAAATACAGGAGTGTCATGTCTGCAATGAAGTAGCAAGACCATATTGTCAACAGTCAAAGTATCAAAGAAATCTCAAATTAGGTGCTTCCCTGCATTCTATTTGTCAATTTATGGCCGATGATAACTTTTCTCACGAAAAAGCGAAGAAGGACCTGTCATTGACAGGTAACCATAAATACAAATGTCTTGAATTTGCAAACAACATATCAGAGAACATTCCAATTTTAATTTAATTATATTTAGTGATGCAAAACGTTTTTGTTTGGAGTGTCTTACATCAGGATTTTTCAACCTTTGTTTATCTCA